CCCCTGTACCCTCTCTGCTTGAAATAATGAAAGAAATGGGGGCTCGAGGCACAGCTCAGTGGATCACATGCTTGCTTTTCAAATGGGAGGACCTGAGTTTGGGTCCCCAGCATCCCTGTAAAAATCCAGGCATGGCATGGGAGTCTGCAATCCCAGAGTCAGTGAGATGAGAAGCGGAGGGCAGAGGACCTGGAGCTCACGGGTCAGCTAGTCTCAACTATGGCCAACAGAAGGCTAACTTTCAAGCAAAAAAGTGAAAGATAAATAAAATGGAAAAAGGGCAATGGCGAGATGGCTCAGTGGGTTGAAAAAGGTGCTTATGATCAAACCTAATGATGTGAGCTCAGCCCCCAGGACCCACGTGGTATGAGAGAATCAACCCCCACAAGCTGTCCTCTGACTTCCATGCATATGATGTCCCCCAAAAGATATAAAAATGTACAAATACACACACACACACACACACACACACACACATACACACAAAGATCAAAAGCTGGAAGGCACCTGAGGTCCAACCCCCAAGGTCCATCTGCGACCTCTATATCCGTATTTGAACATGTCTACCCCGCACACACACACAACACACACAGAAGATAAAGAATATCAAGGTCCAGCACTTAGGAGCTGAAGGATCCAAGCCAAACATGCAGTACGTAGGTCAGTTTCATCACTCTTGAAAAAGGCAGACGGGCATTAAGTAAACTGAGTCCCACACCCGAGCAGCTTGCCTACTTACTGTGTTTCGGGTGACCATTGAAGTCAAAGTGTCAGGTATTCAGCTTCACGAGGTCACTCTGGTATAAACTTCTTGAGAGAAACTTAAATAAAGGCCTCCCGAGGAGAGGAAAATGCATGCTTTCCCGGACAATCCTTTCCACATGTTCCTATGGATTTTTTTTTTGTTTAATTTTTTCATGCAATGTATTTTAACCATGATTTCGCCCTTCCTCCAAATCCTTCCAGATACCTCCATTCTCCCTAGTCACCTAACTTCATAGTCTTTCTCCCTGTTTCGCTCCAATACCAGACACTAAGGAGGACATAAAAACACAAGACAGGGGCATTTTTAAAACGCCACCACATATCCTCCATGTTTGGGGATCCGCTTTTTCTCTGACCCTACAACCACCTCCGCCTTGCACTGTCTGCTTTGTGGGACAGATGTGTCACCCTCAGGTGGGACGTGGGCTAACAATAAGACCAAATTAAATGATTCCTTCGCTCGGAGCTGAAACTCAAGTCTGGGAGGTGATAGCCGGTCTGTGCACTGGGCCAAAGCGCTGTCTTGCCAGTGCAGCCTTGCTTGGACTTCTTGCATAAACTCTGCTTGGTCTACCTTCTCAGCGCCCAGCACTGTACTCCAAGGCTTTGAGTTACTTCCTCATCTCTCAGGTGTCCCTGCCAAACTCACCCCACTGGCTACAGCTGGCTGCCTCACAGACTTCCCACACAGCCTTTTGAAAAGCTTCTGCCACTGCTGTAGCTTCTGCTTGACCTCCCCAGGGTGATAGGGCCTTCCGCTGGTCCACCCATCTTGCGCACAGCTTCTGAGACGGCAGCCAGCCTAAGTGTGGCCATCACACCGAGGGTCCGCATGCCAGGAGATGAGACACTAAGACTCCGCCCCTGGAGCTGGCTCAGGTACCCATGAGTCACTAGCCCTGACCTGTGACCATGATGTCCCGGGGGGAGTGGGAGGCCTAGAGAAGAAGTTCGATGCAGGGACACCAACCGCAGTGACTCACAGTTGGATCCCATGGGGAAGTTCCATCTCCAAATCCCTGGGATGACACTAGCCCCTGGCTGAGCTCACCCCTGCACTAAGGATGCCTGCGCCAGCTCCCAGCTTTCCCCTCTCAACCGCCTGCCTGGTGGAAGTTGTCATCTGGGTGGCAGCTCCCGCTCCCCCGCCCCTGCAACACATGTGACGGATGGAGCGGAGGAAAGGGCATGTCCTCCCAGGGTGTCAGATTGTTCACCAGTTACAACAGGTGTCCTCCTGCTGACACTCCACAGGAGCCTTGGGGGCCAGGAGGCAGTGATGCCACAGCTCTCTGAAAGGAAGTAGGCAGAGCGGCACTCTAATCCCGTAAGATTACTAAAACAACAGGGCAAGGCACTGGGCTGTGAGGCAGCCTCAGGAGTTGCCCAGAAACACACCTGGCCCTCGTCTTGGCAGGAACACACAGGCCACGATTCCTCTCTTCTCCAGGTATTTTCAAAAGAGCAACCATTTCTAAGGCTTCGTCAGGATATGCATCTAGTTCTTCCTCCCTCCCCGCAAATAGACACCAGACTTCATTGCCTTACAGGCTCAACTTCCATCACACAGTTGCTAAGCACCACCAAGGCCAATGCGCAAGTGCACATTTTCAGAAAGCCCCTCTGTATCCAATGTTAACTTGGGGAGGGGTGCAGTGGCACCCTGAGCCTCTCTCGCCTTGATGGTTGTTGTAGCGTGATGGCTGATCCCATACCTCTCCACAGCTGTCGAGTTGCACACTCTCAGAGGGAAGAGCAAGACATGGGGCTGCAAGACAAGGGCAGCGCTCCAAGATTTGAGGAGCCTGCACGGGAGCACCCTCAGCATTGTTAGCTGCTCTGGGGCCTGATGGTGTCACTGTCAGGTGTCCCTCAGATGTCCCTAGCACGTATCCATGTCAGAACACATTCAGAACAAGAGAACAAAGGCATTTGGTCACTCTCCTCTTGTTCATGTTCCCGTTTCCTTTGCCGACAGACCTGCAAGGGTGTGTGTGTGTGTGTGTGTGTGTGTGTGTGTGTGTTGGGGGTGATATTAAGTCCAGACCCCAATGCCAGAAATGATTCTGAAGTCAGCAGTTGTGGGAGCTCCCAAGATGTGGCCACGGCTTTCCAGCTCATCAACATCATCACTACCACCTATGGAATACTCTGGCCTTTGGGTTGAGGAGGAATCCTGAGGGCTGATAAAGGGTAGGAGTGTTTTCAGGAAGGCAGAACCCACCGTTTGCCTGGAAATCCCCTCAAGTCACTTATTAACCACCCCTGACCCCAACAGGCACACAGCCCTCCACTTACCAAGACAAGACAACAGCTTTAAAAAATAAAATCTTTCATCAACAGTCACTTGGTACAAAGTCATGCTCTCATTAGGGAGCCCCCTGTCATCCAGGCACCTACTCTGAGCTCCCTGGATCCCCATAGGAAAAGCTGGGAAACAGGATACGTAGACCCAAGATGCCTTTCCTTCCATACCTATTGCCTATGGCCCTGAGGGGAGTCAGAAGCAGCATTGCAGGTGAATCCTGAAGGACCAGATGAAGGAGCAGGCAGCCTCATGGGATGTGTGCTTATGGGCACACATGAAGGTGATAGTTACAGGTGGTGCAGGAGGAGAAGCCTGCCTCATGGGGCATGTATGTGTATGGGCACACATGAAGGTAATGGTCACGGGTGGTACAGGGCAGCCAGCCCCATAGGACATGTGTGCTTATGGGCACACATAAAGGTGATGGTCACTGATGGTGCAGGAGGGAAGGATACAGGGATGCAGAGAGCAAGAAGAATCTTGTCTTATAGGTAAGACACAAAGCAGGGGACTAGGAAATGATGGGTCATGGGATAATGTGTCCAAGGAGACATGGATGGGGGGACAATAAATGGTTTCTTAAAGGCATCAAGTAACCCATGGAATACTGGGATTAAGAAAGAGGCTCAGGGAAGATGCAATCAGGATTGATTACTTTAGGAGGAGACACGGTAGTCCCCAGATTAGAGCACACCGTGGGTACTCCAGCTGGTTCCCCAAAACCCAAAGCCAGAGGGGGGACTGGGGAGAAGGGATGAGAAGGCTGGGAGATGAACTCTCTGCCAGGACTGTCAGGACTCTGCACACCAGCAGACCTTGGTCCTGCTTCCTTCAATCCCTGTTCTCCCAAGGAGCAAGACTTAGCACAACCACGTTAAGGGAATTCATTTGCAATTGGATCCGTAACTGCCAAGATTAAATCAAGAAAAGGTGCTGCCACTTGTCAAACGTGGCCTCTGTCCCAGGAACCAGGCAGAGCAGCACTCCATCCTCCTCTCCTCAGTCGTCAGGTGTCAGCTCTGTTCCCACCCCCAGTGCTTCATTCCCCAGGCTCTGCAGGAGACACTGGGGTGATCTAGTGTCTCTTGTCAAAGCTGCCCATATTCTGAGCTTCCCACTCAGGACCCACCACTGAGATTTATGGCCAGAATTGCTGTAACCACATTGGATGGAGGAGCCTAGACAGTTACAGGCAAAGCCAGCTCTTGGATAAAGAGAGAGGCCATGTGTTCTACATCCAGCATTATTAGGACCAGACTTGGGTCGGCAGATTTCCAGAAAGCTTCGAGATCTCGTTTAATCCTGTGGGTAGTCTCTGTGCTCGTGAAAGGCAACAGGTGTGGTCCACCTGCCGCCTGTCTCCTGGGTGTGCGGGCTTGGAATCACCTGCTTGGTGCTTCTCCCAGCATACTGCAAGACTGTCCCTGCTCTGAACTCTGACAGACAGCAAGAACTTGTTGTGGGAAGGCAAAGGGGCTGTTCTATACTGCAAAAGGGCAGTACAGAAAAGCAAATGATATGGACGGACCTGACTTTGAGTCTTGACTTTCTCCCAAATTACCCACACCATCTCAGGCATGTGACTATACCTCAATTTCCTTGTCTGGCCTTTGGGCATACTGTAACCTATCTGCTAGAGCTCCAGGAGGAGTGAGCAATTACACGAACCTCAGTGACAAGAAGGAGAGCCCGGAGTACAGCCTCGCCTGGATTAACTACATGATATATTTATTTACAACTGTCTAATCCCGCTCCCACAGCAAACGGCAAGACCCCTGCCTGCTGCCTGCTGCCTGCGCTCTGGCTAGGCACCCAGAGCGTTAGGGCCGTGTCTACATCCGGGGCCATACAAGGGAACACAACTCCACCTTCAAAGCGAATGAACAGAAAGGACCCAGCTGCACGGAGACAGCCACTCACAGCTCACCTTTCTCTTGTCCTTGCTCCACCGTTGACAGAAACCTCTGGTCCTACCTAAAACGAGAAGGGGAGGGTTAAATCTGTAAGCAGGACAACACTGGACACACCATCATCAGACTCGTCATTGCTGGGGGTAGACCCTGAATGTCAGACCTTTTAGGGACATAGAGGATTAAGGGTTGCAGTTTCTATTCATTCAAGAGACAGGTTTTCACTATGCAGCCCAGACTGGCCTTGGAACTCATGTACCGTTGCCTCAGCTTCCAAAGCGCTGACATTATAAGCATGAGCCACCTCATCTGGCTGACAGCTGCTGAGCATCCTTCAATATGCAGCGAAACCACATCTCAGAAGAAATCCACGCAACTGGGGTCACGACAAACTCGAAGCTACTTTCAAAGAGATACATCTCTCAAAAAACAATAAACTAAACCTAGAATCAACTCAACATAAACAGACTTACAAGGGATACTGATATTCTTTTCAAGTTATTAACAATGGACATTGATAGCAAAATAATGGATGGTTGGAATGCTGAGCTGTTCTGTTTGGAGTGGGACCTCTCATGTGTGTGCTCATGTGTGTACCCATGTGTATTCATTCACACGTGTGCATATTCACGCCATATGCAGGTGCACATTTATGTGTCTATGTGTGTGCACACTCACCCTGTATGCCATCACCCTCCCCACTACTCTCAACTCCCAGCTTTTTTTTTCTTTATGCAGATTTGGGGAATGGAACTCAGGTTCCCATGGTTTCCAAGGCAAGCGTTTTACCAAAGGGGCTGGTTTCCTCGTCCTCGCTTGCTCCTTTCACACAGCCTCCTATCCCATTATTTCCGCATGCTGAACCGACTGTACGTCTGAACTCATTCAACGGGGCAGTACGTTCGTACTGTCAGGCTCCACACCTGGCCTCCACCACACTCCCGTAAACACCAGTCCATAACCTCTAACTGCTATGCCTTCTGCACCTTGTGGGTTTCTGGGGTGTGAGCTAGCGCAGGTAATTCCTGAACAAATGGGCAGGTATCAGCCGAGTTGCTGTTGTTGTTGCTGTTAAAACAGATACTTAATCTTTAAATCCGGCCTCTGTTCAATCTCATTCAGACGCCAGGAAGAGTAGAATTTCAAACGGTGTTTAAAGATAATAGCCCCATTCTAAGCCTCCCCACCATTAGGCTCGAAGAACTCACTCGAGACCCTTAGGTTGGCAAATGAAAACACAGAGAAGACAGACAAGAGGGGAAAAGAATACAATCAGACTTGAAATGGAAAACGGGTAACCTTCACACACAAGAGAAAGGATTGTTTGGGTGGCTGAGTGCACATTCACATACCAGCACTCTGGGGTCCCTGAGTTCCTGAAGTCAGGGCGGGGCTGGCCCTCTGCAGGTAACCCCACCAGCCATTAGGTCAGATGGGGGAAGGGGGCCTCATGCACCATAGGGCCTCTCCAGTGACATGTTTACAGGGCCTGCATCCCACTATCATGCCCATGAACTTATACAAGGACCAGCCTCGGGCCTCAAATGCAATAGTCTCTGCGTTTTTGAGGATGCACGTGTGTACGCCTGTGTGGACATGGGGGCAGAGGCCAGAGATCAAACTCAAGTGTCATTCATCAGGAGCTATAGACCTTATTTTTTGAGACAGGGTCTCTCACTGGGATCTGGGTCTTGGGACCTGGTATCTAGAGCAAGCTTGCTCTACCTTCCCTGGCACTGGGTTTATAAATGCTTTGTACATAGGCGGTGGTGCTGGGGATTGAATTTAGATCCTCAGGCTTACGCCTGAGCTATCATCCCAGCCTCCTGCATTGGTTCCTGACTGCGGGCAAACCAAATTGACCACTTGCGCCCAGAAGAACTGTGTTATACCTGGAACCTCACTGGCCAACTGAGAGAAGTAGAAAACTCAATCCCAGAGAGCAGACAAAACGGCAGGCTACTTTCCACCTCCATCCCTGCATCTCGAACAGATTCCCATTCCAGTTTTCTACAAAGTGGCCGCTCATCCATCTATCCTCAGTTTATTACTGGGTGGAACACACCCTATAAACTCACTCAAGATAGACCCCGGTTGAATGGAGACACTTTTGGCTTTGCCCCTCCTTCTGGGAGGGAGCTGAATTTATTTTGTTTGGTTGGCTTTTTGTTTGTTTGTTTGTTTGTTTGTTTTTGTTTTGTTTTTGCTTTTCCAGACAGAGTTTCTCTGTGTAGTTTTGGTGCCTGTCCTGGAACTAGATCTTGTAGACAGGGCTGGCCTCGAACTTAAGAGATTTGCCTGCCTCTGCCTCCTGAGTGCTGGGATTAAAGGCGTGCACCACAACCGCCTGGCTTTGAATTGATTTTAAAATGAGGCCATCTTAATTCCTCACACTACCCCATGAAGTCTCACTTCAGCTAAGTTAATAGAGTGGGCAGTGGTCAGAAGCCTAGGATAAGGTCTTCTTGAACTTAGAGAGTTAGGGAGTGTCATGAAGAGGGGAATGAGGGGTTCTGGAACCATCCCCCTCTTTCTAGGTTTCTGTAAAATGCTAAGACCTAATCCCATGCCAGTGGTCCTGACTGGTCTCCAGTGAGACCTGGGCACTTGGAGGAAACCTCCTCAGATACCCTGAGAAATTCTGAGGTTGTGGCTCAAAATGAATTCACGGTGTAGAGAAAAAAACCTGAGAAAGCTACATTTACATTTTTATCTTTGTGTGTGTGTTATGTGTGTGATGTATGTGCTTGTGAGTGCTGGTGCGCATGTGCCATGATGTGCATGCCAAGCCATGCTTACAGAAGTTGGAGTACAACTTCAAGCATGGCTCCTGGTTTTCCACCTTGTTTGAGACAGGGTCCCTCACTGCTCACCTGCTATCGACACCAGGCTAGCCGAGGCACGAGCTTCGAGAATTCTCCACTCACTAGAGTTCTGGGAATGCAGAGGCCTACACTACTGCACCTGGCTTTTATATGGGTTCTGGGAATTTAAATTCAAGTCCTCGTGTTTGTGTGACAAATCCTTTACCCACTGGACAACATCACAGCCTAGAATCTGCATTTTTAATGTGTTCCCAGGGAAACCCAAGGCTGGGAATCCTTAATACACAATGAGTAAGTAGCTTGAGCTCAAAGACACCCCTCTTCCATCCTCCCACACCCCCAGGAACTCAGGCAAGCCACCCACAACCTCTCTCAGCCGCAGCTCCCCTTCTGGGGACCGTGGAGTACGAGGCATGCGGGAAGCTTGGGCTCAGAGCCCAAGAGACTGTGTCTGGGCAGCTGTGCATCTCAAGAGATTTCTGCATTCCACTAGTCATTTGTTTCACTCTGTTCTCTGAAGAGGCGTGGCCACCTAAACCTCCCAGAGAGAGAGCTCTACTATCCAGGGATACTAAGTCTGTTCCTGGCACACTGGCTGGAATGTCTCCTAGGAGCTCGGCTGAGCTTTGCCCACACCTCCCGCTATGCCAGTATGGCCCTTTCTGCCCTCTACTGTGGAGGACAATGGGCAGGGGCTGAATGGAACACCTTCCAAAGCAGGCCAACTAGCAGCACACACCTGACCAGATCTCACCATGTCGCTGAACCCAAATCAGCTCCTTCGTGATCCCTTCATTTGCTTGAACCGCATGTTCCATGCGTGTGACTTTTTACTACAATAAATAAATATTCCCATGGGAGTGACTTCTGCAAAATAGGCCAAGAAGCTCTCTGTAGGCCACCGGCCTGGGTCCCATTTCCAGAACCATCCCCAAGGCCACCACATCCACCGTGCTACAATTACATTTACGTGCCCACAGAGATGTTCTCATGTCTTTCAAAACCAGAGCCAGTGATGTCCATAGTAATGACAGTCACAGTAATGTTTAGGTAACGGATCCGGCCTGGGTACTAATCATCCTTATACCATCGCAGCCATAAAACTTTAATTTTAATGTTTTTATGGTGGAAGGGAACAATGAAATCATAAGAGCATAACCATCACAATGTGATCCGGAAGTGATGTGTTCATTGCAGTCTCCAAACTGGGTGGGCTTTGCTGAGAACCCTTGTTGAAGGCTCCATTGTTGCTTCATAGGGGGATCTTTCTAGAAATGCCCACTCCGGCCAGATACCTGGCCCCTACCATAACCTTGCATGGGGTTCACCTTTTCCCCTGTAGTTCCACTTAAACTCCCCCTTGTTTTATCATGTGAAAGTCTCCCCACTGGGGGAGGGCTTTGAACACTGTTGGGTCTGTCTGATCACAGACAGAGACCACAGTAGCTCCCACCCCCACCTGTATGTGGAATGCTCAAGCCTGGCAGGAGGGACTTCTAAAGTCCAAACATAGACAGGTACTCAGCCCCTGGAGCACAAACACCCAGCATACATCACACTCGGGTCTATAAAAGATAATTATACGATCTGATCTGGCAAATTAGTGTTCAGAACTCTCTAATTCTCACAATGAATTCGAGGGTTGGATCAACAGGAAGAATTAACCTGGATCTTTATTGGGATTCGCCCCTGGGTCAGGATTAGGGTTCATTTATCTCTTTTATTTTCCTACCGAGGGAGGGTAGAAAGGCCTCCTCTCTTGCCCGCCCTCCCTACACTGGCTAGGCCTGGCTTTCAGACGAGCCAGCTGCCTAGAGATCTTTCCCACGACCTGCCCAGTCCAGCACACCCACATAGAGCAGCCTTCAGGAGAGAAGCAGCGATACAAAGATGGGTAAGAAGGTGTAGGATTTTTCACAAGGAAGAAAAGTTAGGGCATCCCAAATAAAGGGTTAATTTACACAAACACAGCCCAAGATCAACAATGAACTGACCTTCCCAGGGAGCCATTTACCTCCTATTTATTCCAACTAACTCTGGAAAGTCTACTTGGAGAGCACACATATGCACTCCTCTAGGGACCTCTACCAACTCAGGAGAGGTCATTTATAGGAGCCGGTACCCAAGTCCTTACTCATCAGATAGCTAGATCGCTGAGGAACTGGTACCCAGATACATAGGCATGTTGAACCCAAGGGATGATTGCCCTTCATCTTACAAGAACAAGCATTGTGGTGGT